AATTGTGAACTTATTCCAAGCATCGAATAAACGAAAAGAATTTGGTTGAAAGCTGTAAACTTCTTAGATATATCATGCTTATTAAGTTCCGCATGTTTAAATCCTATCTCATATAAATATTTATATTCCTTCACGCCTGCACACGATTTTCTGGAATGTTAAATATTTTATATCCCTCTTTTTTTTGCTGCTACATATTTTTGAGCTACATAAAACTCTTTGATTTATTGAGCCTGATTTTTCTCCTAATTTTATTATGTGAACCAGAGCGATGAGACAAAATATAATAAATAAATAATTAAAAGATTGATAAATTAATTACTTTTTATTGTTTGAACGTTTGACTGTAAATGGAAAAAAAAGAATAGTGTTATTTAGAGACAAAACATATTGGGCATTAACTATTACCACTTTAAATACCTTAAAAAATTATTATCCATATTATAACCTTTTTGTATCGTGCAATTTTGGTTGCACAAATTTTCCTCTGGATCTTATAAATTCCAAGATATTTAAGGTAGTAATAGTTATTGTCCCACTGTATATAAGTGCCATTAAGTTTGAACTTCGGAATTTCTGAAAATCGATGGCGAAAAATACTATCAAAAATTTATATGACAGTGACAATAATAAAAATTGTCATTATTTTCATCGCTAATATTGCGTTCCACAGAGAGAAGTACTTAAATAAAACAACTGCTGCATATGAATGGAATAATAAAAATTACGGATGTATAAAAAAATAAGATAAATGAACAAAAAAGGAGAAATTTTTCTATAATATAATTAATAATTTTTTTTTACTACATATAATTAATAAATTGCATTGTGTCTCACTTAAAGCTCTGAATTCCTCTATTATCCTTTATGTTATTCCAAGCAATTTAAAGAATTTAAATCTTCGTATTGCCATCGTTGCGTTCATAGAAAAACTGATTCTATTGATCTTAATAGGTCGGAGTGAAATAAATTTCACTTTTCAAGTTGCCGATATTACGTAACAAAATAAATAACAAAGATTAATTAATTTTGAGACATCGTCTTATCATGTACTTTTCTCTGCGTGACTCTTTCATGTATACCATTTGAGAAATACAATCGCGCCGTGACTGTATTATATTTCTCAAACGATTTTTCCATCTTCTTTGAGCTTTTCGAGCTTCCTGGCATTGTCGCATGAACATGTCTTTAAACATTTAGGTCACTATTATTAGCAGATTCAAAATTACAAACCATATATACACACATATATATTGCTTTCAGTTTTTATTACAGTCTCAACTCTTGATGTTTAACCCAGTGTTATGGATTTATGAACACCAGCTCATTGTAATTTTTTTTTGCTTTATGGCACTTTTTTAATATTACTTTTCTCTCTCTCTTTCTCTCTCTCCTGTTTCCCAGTCCCTCCTTACCTCCCTCCCTCTCTCTTTCCTTCTTTTTCTCTCTCTCTGAAAAATAATTATTATGCAAAATAATTATTATGACAACCAAATGAAGATAAGATCATGCTTGTCTTTTCTTGTTAGTTTTTTATTTTGTCATAATGCGCTTCTCGCAATCTCCCAAACTATTGCACGCTTATTTGCTGATTTATGATATATCGCCTTTCATAAAGATTTAAACGCATTAAATAAAGAGATTACAATATAATAAGAATAAATGAGGAGAAGTGTCATATTTTAATATATAAACGAAATATAATCGCGATGAAAAATTCTTTTGCATATATTTTGTTATTTTAAATTACAAAACGAAAAAATTTTAATACACATATTAAATATTAAAACAAAATATTATAGGAAGTAAACTAATGAGCTAAGCGTAATTAGTACGAGCAATTAAATTATCTAGAAATATTCTTAAGTTGCATTGAAGATCTCACTTTTTTCTTTGAGCCACACATCTTCAGCAAATCCAAATAACAAAAAAATTCATGCGTCTTAATTTACTCCTTTTTTGGTAAGTCTATCAGTTGTGGCCATTAAGAAATGACATTTCCGAAATATGGTCGGATACTAAATAAATAAAAAATATAAAATCGAGGAAATCTGGAAAAATATTATAAAATCTTTAAAAAATTTATATTAGTAAAGAAAATATTGTCACGCATCACAATCTTTACATGATATTTTATACACCAGATTTTTATGTGACTTTCTTTCAGAAGAGGATCTTGCTGTATTTTAATGAAAAAGCGTAATTTATTTAGATCGGTGTAAAATATTATTCCATAAATATTAGAATTGGCTTTTCTCTCTCTGAGCCACATGTTCTTTATTTGTTTTCAACGCTTCTACAAACCAATAAAAATAGAAACAACTTAAGTTGTTTTCTGATAAATTCAACTAAAATCTAGACAATCTAAAAGACAAAAGATCCTCATTAGACACTCCGAGATATACAAGATTCCTTGCTTTTATGTGGCAAAAACTATATAGAAGTAATCGACAGGATAATAAGAACACAGTAAAAGAATGAAGTTAAACTAAAATACATAAATACAATTAGCACTATTATAGCAGAACACAATTTAGAAAGCGGACAAAATCTTGTTTAATGAAATGTTATTTTCTGATAAAGTCAACTAAATCGTTCACGAAACATTGGAATAAAATAAAGAATCCATACGACTCAAACCTACATGAAAGCTAATTCTAATATTCATATATATTACGAAAGCCTCAAATATCACATTATATTTTGGCTACAAATTATAAATATCTAAACTGCTCTGAAAAAACATGTGGCATATTGGAAAACATGTTAATATTCCGTTCTTTCTTTTTCGATCAATTCGAAATTATTGTTAATATAACTATGAACCTTGGAAATTTGAACTTATAGACTGCCAAACTATAAGAAAGATTTCTAGATAACTTAGTTGCGCCAACTTACTGCGCTTGTCTCTTATTAGCCTATTTCTTATTTAATTGTTTTTTTCTTATTTTAAGCAGTTTATTTTCATATTTAAAAATAAGAGTATGACTCTTGTATGACAATTTTGTATGATAATTTTTATGTTATAAATGATGAAATAACATATATTTACTTTGTGTTCATTATTAATATTTATATAATTATAAATAAGGATTATATAATTAATAAATAATTTTATATAATTATAAAATATATAGATTTTGAAAATATTTAGTAGAAATACTTTTTTTCAAAAAAACATAAAATCTATCTTTACGTTGAAATATATCATATTTATTTATGTGATTATCAAAGTATTTCGCAAAACTAGAGAGATTTAAATCTTTGATAATATAAAAGTTTAAAATCTGCGTAAAAAATGCCTCATATTTTAGTAATTGAATATTTATATTATATATATATGCAGTATATACGTGTAGGATTATGTATGTATGTAAATTAAAGAAATGTATCAATTTTTTTATATATTAGTAAAGCTTTTGATTAAATCAATATTTTTATAATATATAATTCTTAACCGAATAAATAACTAGGTATATATATTTTGTGTGTGTATCTATGTATATTGTTTATCTATCTACATATTCTAACATCTTTCTGAACATTATATGAAACTATATGAGATATTTTTATTTTATATTCAAAACATTGAAAATAAAACTTTATTCTCAGCCATATATATATCCTCGGTTCCGGTGTTCAAAATGATACATATATAAGTCAAAAAATATAAAATAATATATCGACACTTTTTTAGTTATATTTAGATGATTTTTACATTGAAATTCAAAATTATCTTAATATTTTACACAAAGCAATAACTTATATTTTTATAAACTTTTTCTATCAACATTTCTATGGCAATTTTTTATGCAAATTATTAAATATGTAAATCGATAATCGTGTAAGTAATTATGAAACTATTTAGTTTCATAATTCTCACTCTATATTGCTTATAAAAAATAACGAAAAATATAGTAAATAGTGATATATTCTACTTTAAATTCATGTTAGATATGTTGTTAAAATGTAAAGCTAAATTCGCACTAAAAATATCCATTTCGTGATGAAAATCTTATGAAAACATAAAACATTATTAGAAAAAGAAATTAAGTAAGCTTGAATAAAAACATTTTCAGAAACGTCGTTTGCCAATTGTATTAACAATGAGAATGACTCTTACTTTTATTAAAGAAAAAATATTTATAGAATATAAATAACATTATAAGATTCGAAATTATATTGTTAATATTCTGCGATTATGTTATATTAAATAGCAATATTATCTTATACCTATTTAAATGTTGCTTAATCATTATTATTTATTATTAGCAATATTAAATGAATAATGAATGAAGAATGTATATCGATATCGCAAAATCCAGTCGTCACTACATCGAAATTCAGATTTAATTAATGAAATTATTAAAGGAAAATTTATTTATGTCACGAAGCAAAGTGGGAGTAAAGTTAATCTACATATTAAATTTATTTCATCAATGTACATATCTATATCATAATTTATTTGTTTATTTATCTGTTATAACTTTATTTGTCAAATATTTATTCATTAATATGCGTTATTGATATCAATTATGACTTATCTCTTAATGACTTATCTCTAAACCATATATATATCTATATAGATTATATATATCTTAAAATTACAAATATTATATTAATTAGAGATAAAAATTTTTTAAATGAAATTTATCATGAAATTTGTAGGGTTTATGACATTCACAAATAAAATTTGTATAAACTTTATAGATAGATATTTGGTTCCACGAAACTGCACTTTTCTGCAATATTTACTGTTTCTTTGATAAAACAGCGATATTATCAAAAATATTATCAATAATATATATCTAATATTATTTCTAATATTATTCAACTAATATTATTCTAATCAGTATTATAGGGCGAGAACAAGCATAGCTTCTCATTCCTAGCTTTATTCATATTTTGTTATTATAATTATACTAGGCCGTTATATACATGTATATAATGATATATTATTATATATTCGTATACGTGATGTATGTATGTATGTTGCACAGAGGATAAGAAGGGCGGCGTCGACCGGAGCAGCACGGTCATTGCCAAAGAACCCGAAGGTAAAGTCTTGAGACTCAGAAATGTTTCGGCGTTTCGACGTCTCTTTTTCTGTATATTACATACGTAATTAGAGCACGCGCGCGCGCGCGCGTGTCTATGTATGTGTATATTTGCGTGCGTGAATATGAGTATGTATGTGTGTATGTGTGTAAATACATTCAAGATGATAATGTAGTATTACAAGCTGTTATCCCTGAAAATATGTTAAAAATATGCTTTATAACAAAAAGTGTTCTAGATAAGTTATTTGATACGAATGGAGACGAGAAAAGATAGAGATATTAGTTTGTATGATTTCAGATGCAGGTACCACATAAAATCAAGCTTCTTTTTTTTTAGGGAAACGCCCCTTTTTTTATATCAATCGATTCCTCACAATATTTGGTATAAAAAGCTATAAGATAAAGATGGCCAAACATTATAAATAATTTATGAAATATTATATATATAATTTTTATATGATCATTTAATTTTAAAATATAAATTATAAAAAAATATCTTACAATAAGATATGGTCAAAAATTGAATAGTTTATGAGATATTTTACATATATTTCAATTTTATATAATTTATATAATTTTATATAATTTATAATTTTTTACATAAGTTTTTATGATACCAAATATTTATAAAATATTCACGTTTCGATTATCTTATTCCACTATTTTAGGCACAAAGTAATGAAATAAATCAATTGATGTAAAGAAAATACATAGCTGTTTATATAAGAAAAAATAGAGTTGGTCATTGCAAATTCATTTTTTTTTTTTAAAACAACTGTTTCCTTTACATTAATTGATTCCTCTTACTATGCATATAAATATTAGAGATAAGATAATCGAAAAATAATTCATAATTTATGTAAAATTAATTAATAGTATTAAAATACATTTTCTAGTTTATATAAAATTAAAACATACATAAAATATGTCATAAAATATTTAATTTTTGGTCATATCTTTATAATTTTTTTAATATCAAATATTACGAGATATCGATTGATGTAAAAAAATTAAGGTGATTCTATTTAAAGCACTAAATTAATTTTTACATAACCTTGGCACATCTAAATCAGATTAACATGCTTTATTTTTTTCCTTTTTTTTTGGAACAACTTTCATCCAAAACATTTTTTGTTATAATGCATATTTTTAAAGATAATGGTTTATAATACTTTACATAGCCCACCATGTATTTATGTGTGTGTGTGTGTGTACACACATACACATACATACATACGTACATATATATATAACTATACATAATATACAAGATATATTATAATCTGTGTCTACAAATTACATAACGTTGTTTTTTTTTTAAATTAATTGATAAGTCCTGAACTATTTTTTCTACAATGTTTAGCGAAAGAGAAATTATTAAATAAATATTATTTAAAAATAGTATTGCATCGCCGTTTTGCATACAGATGTAGGTTTATAAATGACGAGCTAAATTCAATATAGATACGCCTACTATTTGCACGACTTATAAATATTTAAATAAACGGCATTAATTCATTAACCTTTATTTAATAATTTATTTAATAATTTATCTTTTATTAAGCATTACAAAAAAAATAATTCAGGATTGTCCAATTCATTTTTTATTCAGAAGTAACGCTACTTTCTGGACGCAAATTATAATAAATCCTGCATGTATATGTGTATATATATATGTACATGAACATGTATATATGTACATGTATATATTTTGCATTACTTTTTGAATGTGTCGCAATCGGCACTGACTTCTCCCATCTGCGCTTTTAAATAGGAAATTATTTAAATAGAAAATTAATTAAACATCATTAAATGTGAAAAAACTAGATAATATAATAAGAAAAAACTAGACAATATAACTATTTTGCAAAAATTTAAAGTTTGATAGAATTGTACAAAAAAATACTTGTGTGATTACAAATTTATTAAACACACAATTATCATTGATATTATTATTATTTAATTATAATTATTAATACGTTTTAATTTTATCATCATTTGCATTAAAATTATTTTACGTATAACTTTTTATGTCTTTAAATAAAACAGTGCTGGGATTTAATCGCAACTTTTTTCAGTTAGAGTTTTAATTTTTTAGCATGTACGAACAATTTTATGAATAAAAATAATATTTATTCAAATATGAATCACACATGAAAGTATTCGTATATAGAAGAAGATCTCTGATATCGTTGCTCACATCCACTCTTCCTTTTCTTATCGTTTGCGTGATAATAACAAATCGCCGGATAGTAAGAATGGGATAGTGAGAGTAAGTCACGAAATCTAGCTAGAAGTTGCAATTAAATGACGACAATAAAGATTAGACATATTTAGCTTATTATTATTATATGCATCGAAAATATGAATACACATTCAGTGTACGAATTATTTATAAGTAATAAATAATAAAATATAAGTATACTTTGTACTTATTTCTTTTTTAAATTCGTTTTCTCATAATATTTTATAAATATTATCGAAATGATATAGTTTACTTTGCCGAAGTCCATATATGAACAAATTATCCTTGAGTGCAAACTAATAATGAATTCATATAAACCTAAAATTATATAAATTTGACTTATGAAACTATATTTAATTAATATAAATTGAATGCATTTTTTTATCACAAACAATCAAGAGCTAGTCATGATAATATACCGCGATTAATGCAAATTTTTAAAATTATAAAAAATTGCAAAGAGTGAAATTTAGACAATATATATCACATGTACATCATTTAAATATCAAACATGAGATTAATTACTTATAAAAAATATATTCTTTGAATAATTATTAAACTTTAAAATTTAGAAACAACGATTAGTATGATTGTTAAGTTTTGACGAGAATTGCATTATAGCTCCGAATTTTTTAATTAAAACAATTTACATCGACTTCTTAAATGTACAATATTGTAAAATTGTTTAATGCATTTACGAATTTTTTTTTGTAAGTTATTCGCCGTTTCTCATGTGCATCTGGAATACGATATCATTTTCAATATATCTGAAAGGTGTATACGATACATATCATTTGTCAATCCTAATTAAATATCCAATTTCAGATATTATTCATATGACACATTAATATTAAAAATAAAATAATAATCACAAAAAAGATTGTCGCGAATGGGAGAGGTCAATTTTGCAAGAGGCTATGTGCCAATTTTCGATTTTTTATTGCTGCTTTTGCGAAATTACACGGATTTACCGTTTCTCCTCTTATTTCATCGATTAACATTTCAAAGAGAACTTTGTGCACTTTTTTTCTCTTTCTCTTTTTTCTTCTGTACGTTAATCTTGCTCTGAATCGATTTGATATTAATCCCACTTGGAAGAAGGATCCTCTTATGCCCTCTCTACGTTGCGTGATTGCAAAATCGCATCAAATAGCCGATATTATATTTTCTGACGAATATAATATCGGCTATTTGAAGCAGCTATATATTACATTCTCTGACGAATTATTGTGATTGACATTAAACTGACCCTTAAATTTTCTAACCATATTATATCAGGATGATTTTGAACTACTATATATTTAAATTCTCTAATTAAATCGCAATAACTATTAATTTATTCCATTATTAACACGACAGTTAATATTTGTATTGTAATAGAAATCATTTTTTTAATATCTTATATGAGATGCTACTCAAAATTATCCGAAATTTATGTAGAAAAAATTATAACTTATTAAAAAAACTCTCGAAGTGATCTCTGTGGCATTTATGAATATTCTTCATTATATCCTGCAATTCTTTCATGTTTCTAAAAATGAAAATGTAATTTTAAAAAAGATTTGATATGATGGAAGAGATCCAGGCCGTATTGCAGAATATGATAAAGATACTGACAAAGAATAATTTCCAGGAGTATTTAATATTAAAATTGCATTCCGATCGTTGCATAAATTTCATAAGGGACTACTTTGAAGGTAATGAAAACCATTAATCTTTTTAATAAGTTGTTAACTTTTTATACATAAATTTGAAAAGCTCTTGGATAATACATCTAACTTATATCATCTTCTACGAATTAATATTCAAAAATGATTAGATTTAACGAATAAAATTATTTTCTTTAAAGAAATAATTTTTTAAAATAATAATTTGATAATTTTAAAATTATGTAAACCATATACATACAAGATAAAAAAACTTGTAGATAAAAGATTAAAAAATACGACATCTATATCAAATTTTATTCGAATTGTTTTTACACATCTCTGAACTATAAACATTTAATTCTTTAACAAGAAGCGATAATATCCTTAATTTCGCTTGAAGTGATGAACGTTATATCGTTAATTTTCATAATCGCAAATGAATTCAAAGATAATAAAATAATGAACTATGATATTAATCAATTCTTTGCATAATCAAATGTGTACATACACACATAATGAAATCATTTAATAAAGTATCTACGCTGAATTAATTACAACTACATTATAGTAATCTAATAGCATGAAAGAGAGAGAGCAACGCTACAGACGCACACATTACACACACATATACACATACGCATACGCACTGCACGCATGCGCGCATGCACGCACACACGCACTCACGCATACATATTATACACAACATCACACACAATAATAATTGAAATAATAATTATCCTGAAATTATAATTAAATTTCTTATGTAATTTGCGTAATGAATTTGCTTAAAGCGAACGGCTTCATACCTAAAATTAATTATACAATTGAAATTATAAATCATACAATTAAAATTCGCAAATTCTTTTAAATCTGCAACAATAATACCTTGTTCAAATAATATTGCTAAATATGTAAATGTATGGAGCTTCTTTAATAACCTTGACGTATATTGTCAAAATCATGATTCTGATTGTGAGTAATATGCAAAAAATTTTAGCCATCGTTTATTAAAATGTTATTAACATTATAAATCCATTAAAAAAATTTTGAGTATAGACTGACAACGAAATATTTAATATTAAACATAGTTTATATGAGAGTTT